AATAAAAAAATATTACATTTTGGTACACATTTCGCAAATTTCTGTTTATGTATAAAATATTTACCTTGTAAAATGTAGAAGTTAACAACATACTCGAATGTTCTTTTTGTGTGTGAAAAAGTGCAAATCACATCTTTTAAAGATAGCCTGTAGTTAACATTTCTTTGCCCAAATAACACGTCACTAACATCATTCCAAAATTTACGAGAGGCATCACAGTTATAGAAAAGATGAGATAAGTCTTCCTCATGTATATTACAAAATGTGCAAGTACTCTCAATATCCATGAATTTAGATAAAGTTGCTTTGCAAGGATACATTTTGTGAAGTATTTTAAAGTGCACTTCTTTAACCTTATTTAAAAGGCAAAATTTAAAGGGTATTGACCAGGTAGCTTTCCAATTAATATTAATAATTTTTTCATTCCAATAATATTTCCCTCTAGGGGATATTTTGTGTTTAGATTGAAAGACTTGTCTAATTTTTTTATTATTATATGATGGAGAAAGTATGTCAACACCGTCAATTTTTAATTCTGGGAGTATCTTTTTAACGCCTCCATAAGAAAGGTGATTATTAATTGTATTAAGTTGTATTAAGCCAGCTGGAATAGCCTTAACCACTTGGTGAAATTCTTTAAAAGGAATTGGAAAGTTATGTATCCTCATAAAATCCTCATAAGATAGTATGTTTCCATTATCATAGAACAAATCTGTAACAAAATATATGTTTCTTTGATACCATTTATGTAAAAATAAAGATTTGTTTCTAGAGGTAATGAGATAATTACTCCATAAGAGAACTTTATGAGGAGAAAAGTTATGCTGAAAAAAAAATTTCCAAGCCAATAATACTTGCTGGTGAAATTTGGACAATTTAAGTGGCAATTTTCCAGGAAGATAATTGCATCTCAGGAGAACCACCGATGACGAATAAATAGAACGAATTCGATTGCCGTTACGTCACTGGACAGAATTCAGATTTTCCTCAGAGTGACAAACGAACGAGTACAGTGAACATTGATTTAACGACTTTAGCGACTTGTTTTGCATCTCAAATGGCAAATAACACGTCAGCTGCGTTTTTTAACCGAGTTAATACGATCACGACTGAGTTTGTCAACGAAAATCATCGAAGTGACACGATGGCTTCTCCTTCACCTTCTACCGTGATGAGAAGCCCAACAGGTGAGATGAGAGTTTACAAAAACAGTGTATTCCCACGTATTATTTAATAATACAGTAAATTATGAAGTTAAAAGTAAAATAATATTTATATATTGCCATGTAAGGTTATTAGTGTAGCAAATATGCAACGTCTCTTCATTGTAATGTGTTTTTGTGTGTGTAGTTATGGTTTTGTATATTTTTGTGATAGAGCCCTGCTCTTATATGTAATGACATTCTGGTTTTTAAGTTTCTCATTTACACTCAACAGAAATTGTGCCTTGTTAATGTTTCTGATAAAAATCATTTTAATTTTACTTTAATTTAAATCCTTCGTGTAGACCTGCACAGTCATTTTCTTAATTTTTGATGGTGTGGAGGAATATTTGTTATATTTTAGCAAACTGAATGAGAATATTATATTTAAGTCTTTATTTGTTCAAGCAGGGATGAATTAATACAATTGAGGTAAAGTTGGTTTTATAATTACACGTTCTGACTTTCTCCTTAATAATAATATAACAGAAAATTATTTTTGCTAAATAGTTGCTTTTAGGTTTTTTCCTGATGTCTAATATGGTCTTATGACTTACCGACTATTTGTCAGCTTGTGTTTGTCATTTTTTACATCATAGAAATGATTTGCAATTCCACGTAAGTAATTTTAGTTTTAAAAAATTTTCTATTATAATTGTACATTTATTGTTGTTGTTTCTTTTGTGTGATTGTCTTTCATATTTCTCATTTACAACAGTGTGTTTATTTTAAACCTGTGATTAAAGAGTTTTCTAATATTTCCCTGTTCATTTCCTTTATTTCAGAAAACACAGAGAAAAGGAGGAAAGGGAATAAAGCCTCTGCTTTCTTTAAGAGAGCATGGAAGGCTGTGAAGCGCCCTTTCCTTTGCTGTGACCGGAACAGAGTGGTTCCCTTTGAACCACGGTCAGATGTTGACGATTTCCAGCATCTGCCTGTTCCAGGTCCCTCCAGGACCGTCGCAGCACATGCAGACCTTGAGCCGGTGTGGCAGCCAGGCCAGGTCTGTGAAGATCTTCAGCCGTTGAGTGTTCCGGGCCCCTTCAGCATCGAGCAAACAGCAGATGTGCCGAATGCAGATCCGGCCCGTCCAGAGTCCTCGACGGCCCTCACAGGTCATGTTGATACTGAGCTGGTGTGTCTGCCAGGCCAGGTCTGGGAAGATCCCCAGCCAATCAGTGTCCATGACCTCTCCAATATTAAGAACATGACGGATGCAGATTCGGCCTGTCCTGAGTCGCCTCCGTCTGTTCAAGACCCCTCTGATATTGATGGGACTGATGGTGAGTCATCCTGAATGTGGTTCATTTTATTTCTGCCGTCTGTTATTTTTTATGCTTTGTTGTTTTTAGCTTATAAATCAGACAGTGTCATTTGATGTACTGTTGGTTGTGTATTAATTAATACAGTGCTGAACATATATGAGTGCACCCCCCACAAATCTCTCATTTAAATTCAGATTTTCTATAGGAGGCTTTATAATATTATATTTGTGCATGTACATTAGTTTAGTCAGAACTGAAGCCAAATCTGGAGCTTATCTAACAAAATAACTAAATAATGGTTCAAAAATGAGTAGCCCAAATGTATATGTTCAGGGAAAATATTCAATTAAATTTTCAAAATTAGCAAAAATCAAAGAGAAACAAAAAATATTGACAATTTTGTTAAAATGTTGTAGTTTGTAAATTTTGCAATATTTTGCATGATATTAATTGTTTTATCTTTCCATTTCTAAAGATGTTCTGTGACTAAATTATTATTTTAATAAATAAATCTGTTTGAGAAATCTGTTTAGTTCAAATGCACCAATATATATGACCCAGATTCACTGAGAAATGGATAAAAACATTCCTTATCTAAATGGGGTGTACTGCATATATGAATATGCTGAGCGCTGTAGCTGCAGCTCTGTTCATGGAGATGTTTCTGTTTGTTTTCTTCATTTTAGAAAAACCCAAGAAAGGAAGGAAAGGCAAAAGAGTCTCTGCTTTCTTCAAGAGAGTATGGAAGGCTGCAACGCGCCCTTTCCTGTGCTGTGACACGGATGTAGTCCAGCATCTTACACCACAACCTGAGCCCGAGCCCGAGCCAGAGCCAGAGCCGGAGCCTGTGCCTGAGCCTGAACCTCAACCTGAGCCTGAGCCAGAGCCTGAGCCAGAGCCCGAGCCAGAGCCCGAGCCCGAGCCAGAGCCCGAGCCCGAGCCTGAGTCCGAGTCTGAGCCCGAGTCTGAGTCAGTTCTTGAGGAGCCTAATGAGGCTTCTGGGCTCACTCTTGGTAAGTGATCATTTCCTTTTATTATTATAAATTAGTAATCAGTTTACTCCTGCAATTCTGATGGAAGTTTCTGCTTTCAGCTCATTGCATTAGATCCAGATTTAAAGGATTCGAGTCATTTATTTGATCCGTTTCACACCACACAATGCAAGTAAATCTCTCTGCTGTTTTTCTGTGTTTCAGGATCTAGGGTGGGTCTTTTTGAAGTGAAAGACCTGATTGGAGAAGGAAGTTATGGCAAGGTGTATCTGGGATCTCACGTATTTAATGAGAGAACAAAGGTAGAGAACTATTTTTCAAATTCAGTCAACATTTTCCTCCTGATTACTCAATATAAATCATTTGTGGGCTTTAATTTCATTTGTTGTTGTTTTTCCGCAGGTTGCCCTGAAGTACATCAAGAAGCGTAAACAGGACCGTTATCTCGACGTTGTAAGTTGAACAATTTACACAACAGTGAAAATGTGCTGACCATTTGCTCATCCTTCACTTGTCCCGTACCTGTCTGGACCACTTTAAACTGAACTCAAAAGCAGATATGTTGGAAACAGAGTCACTGACTTCCATTGTAGAAAAAGAAAATACTTATGAAGTCACTGCTTACTGGTTTATCAACATTCTTCAAAATATCTTCTTTTGTGTTCTGCAGAAGAAATAAACCCAGAGACTAGTTTTGAACACATGAATGTAGGGCTGTGGAGTTAATTAATATTCATTTAACATTAATGCAGATAAAAATGATCATTGCGTCATACACACAGACAGAACACACACATGTCGAGTCCTCTTTTAGCATAAACTGCATGACTAAATGCTCAAATACAAGCAAACATGTGTCCAAACAGGAGCTTAGTGATTATTTACTTCGTGAAGTTTTTGTTTCTGTACTTTGTGCCATTCTGCTTTGGTAATATCTTTGAAATCTGTTTGTTTTTCTAGGATGGTCATTCCAAACCTGTGCTTGCAGAAGTGGCAATCATGCTTAAGTTGATGAAGGACCCACCTTGTCCCAGCATCATCACATTACACCACTGGATTAAGAATAAGAACGACTTCGTTCTCTTTCTGGAGTACGCCGAGTCATCCCAGATTTTGGCTTATTATCTCAGAAGTTCATTGGACATTGATGAAAACCACGCACGCCGGTTAATGTGTCAGTTGATCCAAGCTGTCAAGTTCTGCGCTGAGCGTGGAGTTTTCCATGGAGATATGCACTCGGGGAACATCCTGGTGACTCAACCCCGATCAGAGCTCAAACTGATTGACTTTGGTTGTGCTCGGCTAATTACCAGCGAGCCTTTCAACAGCAGTGATTATCGAGGTGAGTGGGCATTTTGTGGGAGTTTCTTTGGTCACAGTATTGTCTTATGAAATGACTGAATTCTGAAAATGTCTCTCTTACAGGAGCCTTACTTTACACACCGCCTGAGGTTCTGAGGGATCCCACATTCTTTCCTAACCCGGCGTACGTCTGGACATTAGGCCTCATCCTGTATGAAATACTGCATACACGATTGGCCTTTTACGACACGCATTCGATAATCGTTGGAGACCTCCAGACAGACCTCACCTTATCTTTAGGTAAGCAGACTCTTCTGAACAATCGTTTGTTTTGTAATTTGATGTAGTGAGATTTAAACACGTTCATGAATCTTGAGTATGCAGACATATTTCACACTCTCTCTGTCACTTTTCAGATTGCCTGGACCTGATTTCCCAGTGTTTGGTCCGCAATCCAGAGAAGCGACTGCAGTTACATCAGTTAGAAGAGCACCGGTGGTTCAATCCAACGAGCCCAAATCCTGTGCAGCAGTGAGACAAGAGGAGGTAGAGGAACACACCGAGCACAAAACTACATCTTCAGTCTTTCTTTGCTTCATGCTATTCCTGTTCTTTCCTCTTCTGCTCTTTTTAGAGTCACAAGTCTTATTTGACAGCCCTTCATATCACTGCTTAAATAACTTTGTGTTGTTTTTCTTCATTTTAGAAAACACTAAAGAAGCGAAGAGGAGAACAGCAGCATTTCCAGAAATTTCACAAGACTGTTAAAGTTATTAATTACTCCCTCATGTCATTCCAAACCCCTCAGACCTTACTTTTCAGTGTCAGTGTGTTGATGAGAGCTCTGTCCTGCACTGTGTGTGTGTCCACTGCTGACGTTTACCTCAGATATGCCCACGCTTTGTTTAAATGAGAGGAAGTCGCGCAGGCCTCTGGGTTATCCGTCAGCAGTGCGACACACATCCAGTGCAGTACAGGACTTCTGAAGTCATTATTTTTGTTTTAGTATTTTTGTGTTTTTCTTTCTGCATTAAAGAAGTTTCGCTCCAAACCCCTGACACCTTTCCTCATCTTCAGAAAACAAATGAAAACATTTGAGATGAAATCAAACCATGAGAGCTCTGTCCTGCACTGTGTGTGTGTCCACTGCTGACGTTTACCTCAGATGTGCCCACGCTTTGTTTAAATGAGAGGAAGTCGCGCAGGCCTCTGGGTTAAACGTCAGCAGTGCGACACACATACAGTGCACTGCGCTCTTCTGGACGTGCGGTTTGAGGGTCAGAGAGCTCTCAGATTCATCTCAAATGTTTTAATTTGTGTTCTCAATATGAACTAAACATGAATTTGATCTAAGGACATGAGGTGAGCAATTAATGACAATAATGGTGAATAAATACTGCAGCTCTGCACAAGACCTTTGGCCACAGGAGAAATGGTCGTGCCCAACCGAGCCTGGTTTCTCTCGAGGTTTTTTCCTTCACTTTTGTCAATTAGTGAAGTTTTCTTCCTCGCCACTGTCGCCGCTGGCTTGCTTGGTTGGGACTTGTGGAGCTGCGCATCGATGGATTTGCTCTTCAGTGAACTGAACTTCAACTCCAGTGCTGTCACAGTTTTCTCCTCTTAAGTGTCAGCAAAGATCTGCTCGACTATTTTCTCCCTCATTAATGAATCTGGTGTTCTGTCATAAGAGAGACTGATTGTTTTATAATGAAGTGTTCATGATTGTTTTGTAATGAATTGTTCTTTGAATTGTTTTGTGATGAACTGCTTTTATGTATTGTTGGCTAATAAGTCAAATAAAATCCTGTGAATCAAACTGAAGCTCTGATCATCATTTCTGTGAGTTTTCTAAATGACTCCTTACTCAATTAAAGAGAGAGTTCTCCCTCAACTATTTACTCACGTGCTTCTAAACCGATGAGGTTCTTTCCTCTGTTGAACACTGAAGATACAAATCTGAAAATCTGTAACCATTGATGTCCACAGTAGGAAAACAAATACAATGGAGGTCAATAGTTACAGGTTTCCAGCATTTTTCAAAACATCTTCTTTTGTGTATAACAGAAGAAACTCATAGTAAGGGCTGAGTAAAAGATGACAGGATATTCATTATAGGGTGAAGGAATCTCTTTTAACAAACCAGTAGTGCCATTTACTGTGTTTACTATGATTTACTATGAGTCTGTTTAGCCAAATGGAAGCACAGGGAAGGTTTTACTGTTAGACAATGTGTTGTTTTATATTACAGTATCATATACCAACACAACAAATAGTGTACTGGGCTGATCTTTTATTTAAAGAGCAGAGTTTCAGACTGGACATTGTTAAACTGTAGACTCAATTGACTAACAGTACACGGAGCAAAATAAAATCTCTAAAAATAGAAGTGTGAATGTGTGCGATTGAACTCCAGTGTGCGATTGCAGCTTTTCTTTATCATGGTTAAAATGGTGAGTGAACATCACACAAGTGAACATTGTCAGATCTGTTGTTCATATATTTGCCTTCTGGTACAGTCAAGATTGCAGACAAACTTTAGAGACTCCAAATTGTTCAAACTTTGACAATCCCAGTTTAAAGAACAGTTTAGATTTGAGGATTGAAATTGAGAACCACTGTATAAATACTTGTTAGATGCCTTAGGAGGCCCTTGTTGGGTTCAGTGAACAGTATTGTGTTTTTGTTAGTGCGAATATTTGAATATTTTGTTGGTGTATTTTAAAAATGTAAAGCACATTCGTTCACAATAAACAACCTTTAATGAAATTAGAAGTTTCCAATGATGTTTAATAAGATTAAACAATATAATACTACACTGTGTAACACTAGAAAAAGAAAAGCTACAAAAACAATAAATAATTTGAATGTTTTATATGTTTATTTACTCTTTTTTTACTTCTTGCAACTGTTTATACCTGTGATTTTAACATACTTTCTCTCATTTCTATTTTATTTTTTCAAAAAGAGATGTGAGATGTACATATTTGTTCTACGTTTGAACATATTTCATTACTATTTCATAATCAATGGGGAAAATGTCCAGCCTGAGCACCCGCCTGAGAACTTGGTGCTAATTTTGGTCACTAGATCTACCCCGGTATTCTACTCTGCTGCATGCCTGATATACTGAATATGCCTCTGTAACGCCGGGGAGTGACACCAACAACAGAAGGTAGGATCCAATATGCAGGTTTTATTCACAGTCAGGCAAGCAGTGGTCAATACGGGAGCAAACAGATATATGTAGACAATCCAGAATCGTAGTCAGTAAACAGGCAATAGGTCGTAAGGCAGGCGGCTAAACAGGATGACAAGGATAAACAGGGCTAAGAACAAAACACGGGAAAACAAGACCAGGATAACGCGTTGTAATGTCACCTTACAGATAAACAAGACTCGGCCATGTGAATGAGTGTGTGTGCTGCTTAAATACTGTGTGTAATCAGTCTCTTAAAGTCCTCAGGTGTGAATGTGAATCAAGCTAAATGAGAAAGCAGGTGTGTGGGCGAAGAGCATGTATGAAGTTGTAGTCCAGGAAAAGTGTAGTTCTAGGTGTGTGTGTGTGTGTGTGTGTGTGTTTACCAGCGACATCTGGTGGTTGTTCGCTGGTAAACATGACAGAGCCCCCCCTCTAAGGAGTGGCTTCCAGACACTCCTAATACTGTTCAGGTGGGAGATGGAGCGGAGGCGGAACAGGGGGAGGGATGGAGGGCCAGGACCATGCAGCGTGGGCGTACCTGGAGCGTGGAGCAGCGGAGGGCCTGGAGCGTGGAGCTGCGGCCATTCAGGGAGCTCAGGAGGCGGCGGCCATTCAGGGAGCTCAGGCGGCGGTGGCTCTGGCAGCACTGGAGGGTCTGGCAGCTCTGGAGGGTCTGGCAGCTCTGGAGGGCCTGGCAGCTCTGGAGGGCCTGGCAGCTCTGGAGGGCCTGGCAGCTCTGGAGGGCCTGGCAGCTCTGGAGGGCCTGGCAGCTCTGGAGGGCCTGGCAGCTCTGGAGGGCCTGGCAGCTCTGGAGGGCCTGGCAGCTCTGGAGGGCCTGGCAGCTCTGGAGGGCCTGGCAGCTCTGGAGGGCCTGGCAGCTCTGGAGGGCCTGGCAGCTCTGGAGGGCCTGGCAGCTCTGGAGGGTCTGGGGGAGGGATGGAGGGCCAGGACCATGCAGCGTGGGCGTACCTGGAGCGTGGAGCAGCGGAGGGCCTGGAGCGTGGAGCTGCGGCCATTCAGGGAGCTCAGGAGGCGGCGGCCATTCAGGGAGCTCAGGCGGCGGTGGCTCTGGCAGCACTGGAGGGTCTGGCAGCTCTGGAGGGTCTGGCAGCTCTGGAGGGTCTGGCAGCTCTGGAGGGTCTGGCAGCTCTGGAGGTGGCGGTGGCAGCTCTGGCAGTAACAGCTCTGGTGGTGGCATCAGCTCTGGCAACTCCGGTGGTGGTGGCCATTCTGGTGGCTCAGGTGATGGTATTTCAGGAACTGAAACAGGAACTATGGCAGGAACGGACAAAGAACAGGAAACCATCTTGTGAGCAGGTGGCAGATTGGCGCTTACCACATTGTGAGCTGGAGGGCTGGTTGTGACCACATTGGGAGCTGGAGGACTGGAGTCGGCCATCTTGTGAGCTGGAGGACTGGAGTCGGCCATCTTGTGAGCTGGAGGACTGGAGTCGGCCATCTTGTGAGCTGGAGGACTGGAGGTTTCCATCTTGTGAGCTGACAGACAGGAGGCGGCCATCTTGTAACATGGAGAACTGGGCTGGTGAACAGGGGACATGAGTATAGTAGATGACAGCATAATATTGTTAGTAGAGGGGATTACAAGCCCCGCAGCTGGCGGGTCTTGCTGTCTATTGCCCCCCCCCAAAAAAACATTTATGGGTTTCCTCCACCTCGCCTACGGTGAAGGGGGACCCACTAAGTTGCAGCGCCAGATCGATATAATGTTCTATTGTCCAGTGGGCCTCATGAATTGGCATTGTGGAATACAATGGTTCAGATAAACCACCCCGGAAAAAGATCATTAAACATAAATCGTCCATAGATGTTAAATGAGCCAAATAAATAAAATCCTCTACATACTCTTCTATTGTTCGGGCTTCCTGACGAAGACACATGATCTTGATACCCGCTGGATCCATTGTGTGGCCGAGTCTTCTGTAACGCCGGGGAGTGACACCAACAACAGAAGGTAGGATCCAATATGCAGGTTTTATTCACAGTCAGGCAAGCAGTGGTCAATACGGGAGCAAACAGATATATGTAGACAATCCAGAATCGTAGTCAGTAAACAGGCAATAGGTCGTAAGGCAGGCGGCTAAACAGGATGACAAGGATAAACAGGGCTAAGAACAAAACACGGGAAACCAAGACCAGGATAACGTGTTGTAATGTCACCTTACAGATAAACAAGACTCGGCCATGTGAATGAGTGTGTGTGCTGCTTAAATACTGTGTGTAATCAGTCTCTTAAAGTCCTCAGGTGTGAATGTGAATCAAGCTAAATGAGAAAGCAGGTGTGTGGGCGAAGAGCATGTATGAAGTTGTAGTCCAGGAAAAGTGTAGTTCTAGGTGTGTGTGTGTGTTTACCAGCGACATCTGGTGGTTGTTCGCTGGTAAACATGACAGCCTCACACATAGACACATTGTTTGTATCCTTTTACTGTTTATCCTTAAAGCGTGACAGAAGTAAATGCTTGACTTGAGTAACATAACAGACATGCATTAAAAGCCACATCAGGGATTTATATAGGAAAAAATACTTAACATGCACTTTTTGGCAAATCTGCTCCATCAGATTCAAGTCTTTACCAATTGATTTCTTTTTCTTTCAGTTACTGAACTCCTGAAATACAAAATATGGGTGATTTTTTATTTATTGAAAGAAATATTGAATTATATTCA